ACACACACACACATATATATATATATATATATAGAAGAGATCATATGAAAATGAAAGATAATGAAAGAAATAGAATGATTATGGAACATTAGATATAACATATCAATGACCTTGATGAAGTTAAATGCTAGTAATTAAAGTAAAAACAAGCAGTGGCATTTTTGTAATTAAATGGTCAGATATTGAACAAATATATTTAAAGGGTAATAGTGTAATTTTCACTCACATACCAAACCCTAATATTTACACCACACAAACACACACAAACACGTTCAGCAGCCACCGCACCCCCCCCACCCCACACACACACACGACACACATACTCACACACACGGACAGATCGCCGCCGAGCCGTTCTCCGCCGCCTCATCCACCGGCCATTTTCAGACGCCGAGCCGTCTCCGCTGCTGCAACCACCTACCGTTTTCCGCCGCACGAGACCGCTATCTCCGCCGACGTGTGTGTCTGACATTCATCGTCCCTGCTCGTAATTCCGGCAACGAGAATGAAGTTGCCATCTCCGTCGACACCAAACGGCGAACCTTCTGCCATTTGCACTGTTCCAGCCATCGCCGTCACTCCCGTCCCCCACACAACGGCGTCGATGAGGATTAACGACCACCTGTTTTTTTTTTTTTGGTTGTATTGAAGAGGTCCGTCAAGTATTGGGCAGTAAAGACGACGGCTGGTAAGTATTGGGCTGCGAAGACGAAGTCTTGTGACCAAATCGACAGTGACATTAACGTCCGACATGAACTCCGGTGGAGGTGGACGAATGTGGACGGAGGTGGCTGAGTTTTAGATTTGTGGGTTCTTTTTTGGAAATTTGACATGTTTTAGGGGCTTGGTTGTAATTAGTCTAAGTTTATTTTATTTTAATTTATTACTTGGGGTAAATGTGTAATATGATAAAAGTTTAATTAATGCCTTGTAATACTACATGAATTACCACCTCGTTTAGTTTTTTTTATCAGTTGATCTGACCAAATCGACCGATTCGAAATATCATTTGATCTAATATTTTCAATCTTTCGAAAAATAAGTTGAACGAACTTTTATTCCCGACAATCGGTTTAGTTTGTCGGTTAAATGAAATAACAAAATTAACTTAAATAATTATATTATTTATCATAAAAAACATTTTTAGTTTTAATATCATTTTATATAATATTTTATATTATCTTTTGATTAAAAAATTAATATACATGTAAACGAAATATTATATGCAATCTAACAGTCATTAAGGCGCATTTCGTCCAATATTATGGTGCACAATGTCTGTATGTATTGTGCAGATTAAGCAAAACGGTTTTTTATTTTTTTTTAAAACATATTGAGGCTAGCATAATTAATTGATTTATTCCGATTAATTAACCGAATTATCCTAAACAACTAAAATATTATTATACTTTACTTATATTAAGATTATATTTTTCATATTAATAATGTAATTTATTACTTTTATATTATCTAATTAAAA